CTAGTATTTTCATCATATTTGTGGTACAATGAGTGGATATGCATTTATTTGAAGTCAATTGTACTTTTTATTATCATTTTTAATAAAGATGTGGTTGTTTTCTTATAAATGTTTTCTTAAATTTCAGTTAATAATGCATATATGCAATGATACATGTTAAAGATCATATTGCACTTTAAAGTAAGCTATATATATAAGTTTTCATACATTTGATATCATAAATATATATATATATATATACATATATATGTGTGTGTGAAAAAATCAAATTTGAGAAGATATATATTTATTGGGTCTTGTTTGGTTTTGTCTATTTTCATAATTTACAATGATTAAAAATGTATTAATATAATATTAATCAGATTAAGTATCATTACATTTACATATATATAGCTTGTATATCACATTTAATTATTTTGAATTTATATAATAATTTATTTTTACCAGTTTTAGCTTTTGATCAGACATACAAATGAATAAAGAAAAAATATTAAAAGGTTGGATCTAGGTAGTTACTCCAACCATACTTTTTAAATGATCTTACAACTGTAGAGATATGTTTCTCTAGGCTTCCTAAATGCTTTATCAGTGTTTAATTATTATTGGGAAACAAAAAAATATATAAGTTATTTGATGACGACAAAAAGATCTGAGTAACGCATGCAGGAGATAAATATTTGTATTGGGTGTTGTTTTTTCTTTCATACTATTAGTTGAATATAGTTTATGGAGATTTGAATGGTTTAATTTGATATACAAGATAACCATTTACTTACATACCTCGATTTTCAAGCTAGTAAAGAAAACAGAACTCATGTAATATATGAGACCCAAAAAAACAAAAACAAAACAAAAACTGAGTATATTGAGAGTTGATAGAAAAAGAAGAGTCGAGTATAATCAATAGAAATGGATCAGTTGCATAGTGACCAAAAAGATCAAACGAATTATCGAGTATAATAAACATAATTGACCATTTTTGTAGATAAGATAAATTATAATCTTTTGATAAGTAAGTACTAATAATTTACGTCACTCCAAATTTTCACTTTACTATGTTTTTACTCTAACGTTGATTCCAAATATTTGTTATAGTGATGCATGTTATCATATGATTCGTGTGGAAGTGCATTAGCAAATGAAATAATCATACTCAATCTTTCAAAATGTATCCCTTTTCAAATATCATAGACTAAAGATTGTACAAATTGCCATTGAATTAACCACAAGTCCAAAATGGTGTAGTCGATCGATATTCATTGCATTTGATCGTACAAACCATGGAGACGTCTTTGGCTTCATCACCATAGCTGCTTTTGGGATTCACAAATCAGAGATCCGATCCAAGATCTCCCTTTCCAACAACAATCTGGATCTAGTTCTCTCCAAATGAAAAGTTGGCTTCTTCCTCTGCACTAGAGATGCTTGGGTTAATGTGATCATTCAATAGCTTAAAGAAAAGTAGATCACTTCTGCTCTACAATCTTCCCTCCCAATTCTGACTCCTCCTCCTCCTCCTCAATTTCCGCCTCCCCGCGACAGAGAAATGCTGGGTGAGAGAAGAAGATCCAAAAATTTCGACGAGGAAGGTTGACGGCGTAAAATCGGTAAAGACGACAATGAATCGAGCAAGAAGAGATGAATAAGGGCATCATTATTGGGGGTATCTTAACCCTCTAAGATACCCCAATAATGTTAGTCTTAGTGAGTGTGACGACATTAGGGCTTATAATAACAAGTGGCTATACTATTTGTAATAGTTGTCCTACTATATCTAGTTATACTATTTAACAGTTTTTCCTATTATATATCTCTCAGCTATACTATTTTTGTACCACATTCACTATTTGTCTCTCAATTATACCATTTGTACGAGTTGTTATATAATCTTTCAATTGTACTAGTTGTTCTACTCTCTCAGTTGTAATATATCTCCCTTCATTTCATTAAAGGATTTTCGGGGATATCGCATTAAATGTGGCACACAGATTAAAAAGTTGTAGCCTTACACAGATTAACAAGTAGCATTCTTGCCCTATGCTCGAAAGTTTGAACTCTAATGTCATTTTTTCGGGCCGAGATTCCAAAAATCGTCAATACGTATTTATCTTTGACGAAAGTTCCCATGAAACTATTGTTTGTGAAGAAGACGGGAAATATTACGATGATTAGCATATGATCAGGCTCATAGTTTACTGTATGAGAAATAGGGTTCATATACTTGTTCCAATTGTAATAGTGTGTTTAACACTTCTCAAAAGTTTGTTGCACATATGTTATCTCATTACAAGAGTGAGACGACCAATTAAAAGGATCAAAATTTTGTTTCATGTTTCAAAATTTAAAATTTATATCAATCAAAGTAATGATTAGTTTATATTATCACCTTTCTATAAATTTTGTAGACTAATTAGACGTCCAATTATGAGGTTTGTGTCATTCTCTCCTAAAACTTACATCTATGAAATACTTGTCATTTCCTTCTAACATCTAAATTTTACGTAGTGTATTTAACTATGTATGTTAACTAACAATTTAAGTAAATAAATTAAGTCATCCCTCACTTGATGTAACAAAATTCTATAGGAAGGTAAATCTTTTTTGATATATATATACATTATCTCTTGTTTTGTACACATGGAGATAGCACCAAAAATATGAAACAGATTTTTTATTTAATATTTTAAAAATAATTTAAAATCAAAAAATTAATCTACTTATGAATTTTTTTTCTATCTTATTATATAAATTTTGATTTCTCAAATTTAGTTATCAACATAATTGTGACATGTGTCTACTTTTTTGATCAAAGATTTTTTGATTTCTCAAATTTAGTTATCAACAAAAAGTATTTTCTTTTCTTTTCTTGAACAGTAAAAAAAAAATTTAGTCGAGCTTCAGGATCATCTCATAGAATTTGTGGGTGGTATGTTACATCAAAATCTAAAGACCCAATTAATTTATCAAGAACCCACAATAAAAACTCGAGTTTAATGTAGTGGGTACTTTTTACTGTTCAAGAAAAGAAAATACTTTTTGCTTATAAAAAAAGTAAACACTTAAATCTGGTTTAGTAATGGAATCGATTCCGCTGTAGCACATTGGCTAAAGCCTTTCAAAAAAAAATAATAATAATGGAATCGATTAAATTGACATTTTATCTTTAGACTCTTTATCTAAAGAAGAGCATCTACATTGTAATTTTATAATTAAAGACACAAGAAAGAATGTAATCATTTTGTAATACTTTTCCATATATTATAATAGAACAAAGAAGAATAAAAATAAAGTTGGAAAAAATAAAAGTAAGGAAAAGAAATGGAGAAATATGACTTTTGGGGCATGAGAAGATTATATTGTCTCATTGGATCCTTTGGTCGTTCATTTCGAGAGAGTAGGCTTCTTCAAAGATGGACTTTTTGTCTCATCATTCATTTTCGCGCGGTAACTTTTAAAATTTGCCACCGTATGTAATTGGTACTACTAGTATCTTAAGTTAAAATATGAATGGTCGTTGTTATGGTAGCATCACAAGTAATGAAATAAAAATCACAATTGTTGGTAGAATTCAAATTTATGTTCCAGAAAACATTTTGGATTCGGTTTTTATACTGAACCAAAAATCTTTAGCCAAAATAAATAGTCAAATAGAGTTCTTATATCCGAAATAATGTATTTTAAAAACTTTTCAACAATTAGATTAGTACGTATATTGATTCAAAATTGCAAGTAAAAAGTAAAAATAATAATAATAATAATAATAACACATGCGGTATTTTATATCGTGTCGCAACACGAAAAAATGAGTGTTTTCATTTTGTTATAAACGGAATATAATATCATGTATATTTTCTAAAAATCGAGTCACAAAGAAATGAGTGTTTTAATAGAAAACAAAACCTTAAAGTATTTTGTGGCAAGCTAGTGTGTGTGGGTTATTGTTAATCTAGTGCATCTAACTTTCTTTTTTTTTCCTTGTCAAACATGTGATTTGGGATCAATAAGATGGTGGGGAACGAATTATAACTTTCCAAAACTGGATGATCGCTTATTCTTTCTTCTATGGGTTAATTGACTTGTCTGGACACTCTTTTGCTTCTTGGTCGCTAAGTCCAAATGCAAGCTAACTCGTACTATCTATTGGTAGAACTTTGTTTAGGCCAATGTCGATTTACACCTCTTTGATGACTAGGACTTTTGTATAAACTTCTTAGGATTAGCCAATTTGATTCATAAGTGTCATTTCTCGACATACATGTGACGTTACAAAAGCTGACCAAGTTCAAACAAGATTATATGCGACGTTACGATAATTTGATTCATAAGTGTCATTTGAATTTTTGAAAATATATATTAACAAATTTGATTGATCTCTTCATTTTAATCATCAAACAAAATATATAGACTAAAGACAAAAGAAAACGTATTTTTATGGTCAAAAAGGAAACAAAAAAAAAAGATTAGACAGAATTTTGTTGTTTTGTATTTTAATTTAGCCGTTTTCTCGACCTTTCAATTTCACAGGTGTTTGACTTGTGCAGGCCTCACACATGGTAATGTTCTTTAGTTTTTCTACAAACTATCTTATTCCTATATGAACCAAATTCGATTATTTGTGAGCTCTCAAGTCAAAAAGGTTATATCACAATCTTGTGTATATGATTTGTGGCACTCCACATGTATCTATCATAGGGATTTCACTTGTACTATATGTTTTTGTTTTGCTTCTTGTACCATCATGCCAACACAAGCATCTCAGCAAATCCAACTTACTCACTTGTCTAATTACATTTTAACTAGGTTTAATATGGGCAAAGAAAGAGTAAGATAATTCGTGTACTTAAATTTTATTGCAACTATCAACAAAGACAAGATATGTAATAAGTAAATCTAATGTCGGCATAAAAGCATATATAAAGCAAGCATCGTATTTCACAATTTTATATAAAAATACTATACTATAGCCATACTGAAGTGTTTGCATATATATAGTAGCAGAAGAGACAACACAATAGTTCTCATTTGATAAATGCTGCATACTTAACTTCACTTCTTCACACCAACAACAACAACAACAAAAAATGACGAAACGTTTCAAATTAAAGATTTCAAGAATCCTCTCATTCAAATCTTGTCGTTCAAAAGATCCTTCTTCTCTCCCTATTAATCCTGTTCCGTCAAGTCTCCGACGTACTCCTCCACCTTCTAACTCATCCTCCGTCGTCGTTACCACCACCGTGCCACAACGTCGTCGTTCTTCTTTCAAACTACACGTTTTAACCGTGTTTGGCTGCGGTCGCTCGTCCACTACGTTGGATGTTGTTGATCGGAAGACTTCACCGTCGTTATCTCCGCCGCAGACGCCGACGTTTCAGTGGGAAAGCGAGGGGAAGTGGCACGTGATCGCTCATGTCACCGAAGAAGAAAACGAAACGCCTCGCCGGAAAATTTACGACGGTGGGTCGGAGAAAGATCACAACCGCCGACGTTTAAAGAAGAAGGAGAGATCAAACTCACGGCGGAGAGGGAGCATATCCTCCGCCGAAGAAGAGACGGATAGAGAGAGTCTCTTACCGTCTTCTACAAACCTCTCGCCGGAATATTCCTCCTCAGAGCTGCGACGTGTCACAAGAAGACGTAGACACGTTCCCAAGAAGTCAGCGATCGTTGAAGAAAGCGAGTCATCGTCACCACCACCGTCTCCGGCGAGGCTTTCTTCGTTTGTTCAAAGACTGATGCCGTGTACGACGGCGGCTGCGGTTATGGTTGAAGGAGTAGCGGTGGTGAAGAGATCAGAAGATCCTTACGAAGATTTCAAAGGTTCAATGATGGAGATGATTGTAGAAAAGAAGATGTTCGAAGTAGCTGAACTTGAACAGCTTCTTAGTTGCTTCTTATCGCTAAACGCGAAACGCCACCACCGCGCGATTGTTAGAGCGTTTTCAGAGATTTGGGTTGCTTTGTTCGCCGGTGGTAACGGTGCCGGTGGTGGTGGTGGTGGTCGGAGATCATCCTCCTTCTCTAGTGTTCGACTCTCCGATTACGAAGAGTGTTAATAATAATATATAAGTTATCATTTTAATTAAGTGGTCAATGTAAATGTTAAATGTAAATTATGCGGCGGTGCAATAATTAAAACTGTAATGATTAAAATGCGTAGGCCAATTTAAAATATGTATTTGTACGATTTAGATTCTAAAATGCTTAAGATTGGATATATAGATTTATTGATCATATTCGTCAACACCAACCAAAAAAAACAAATATATTCATATCCACACGCAATAGTTGCTTTTTAAAAAAAAATATATCATATTATTCGTAAACAAAGTTAGTGTGTGGATTGAAATAAATTCACAAAAAAATGTATACAAAAATAGTTTGAAGAACCAAACACAAGAAGCAGAACTGTGGGTTTCACGTTTTTACCATAGACAAGAACACTTAAGATAGGAACAGATGTTCACTTTTTCTTTTACTTATCTTTACACGTTCGATTATAAATGCTTAGTAGGTGACACTTGGACGGTCGATGTGGACCATTTTGGTTCACCAAATGAAGTGACAAATGATTGAAATCATTAAGAGACAAAAAAAATTGAATATTTGTCCTTTTACACTTCTCTCAGACAATAAAACATATACAGAGATGTGTCTCTATCTCTAGTGTTTTTTTTTACTAGGGGTTTTAAATCTGAAGCTGAATCATCATCACACAGTCTGATTCTCGAGATGAATCAATCTGAGTTTAGAATGGTCAGAGAGAGTTTGGATTTGGAGTGAGTGAATTGGAGAAATGGGTCCATAACTTGAAGTACAAGCCATCTCTGTTCCATCACTGATCACTACTTGTATCCTCTTTTATTGTTTAGAGTAAAAAGCAACCTCTAAGGTCAGAAGTTGAATTATTGAGTTTTTACAGCAAGGTTTTGGTAAATATTAAAGCACACGGCATCAGAGATTCTGCAACACAAAACGAGAACATCACTAAAAACAAGACAATGACACTAAGTTCTACGCTCTCTCTCTCTCTCTCTCTCTAAACAGAAGATAAGAGATTCTCTGCAGACAAGACAATATAGAATATTGTGTTATCTCTCCCCCTCTCTCTCTCTCACTCTCTCTCTCCCTAAGGTTTCATTGAGTCTAAAAGGGAAGTGAGAAAATCCTTTGGTTTGATTACTTGTCATTAAAGAAAGGGTTTACAAATAGTTGATTTTGGTCCAAGACTGAAGAGATGATTATTATCAACCTTGGTGTGGTGGCGGTGGAGGCATAGACATGTGATGGTGTTGGTATGGTGGTGGTTGTTGTTGTGGTGGTCCACCTTGTTGCTGCATGTGTTGTGGCGGGCCTGGCGGCCATCCTCCATGTTGGTGCATTCCCATGGCTTGAGGCGGAGGAGGCGGCCTCGGACCACCAAAACCTTGTTGGTGGTTAAGAAACTGTGGTGGTGGCGGCGGCACACCCTGAGGCGGACGGAAATGCATGGGCGGTGGGACCAAGCTATGTTGTGGTGGTTGAGATGGCCAGGATGGTGGCTGAGTTTGATATATTTGAGGAGGTGGTGGCGGTGGTGGACGGGCGGCGGGGATCGGGATAGGTTGCATTCCGCCATTGACAAATGGACGTGGTAAACCATTAACTTGAGGAGCATTGGATGGGGGGCCAGTTGCAAATAGCGTATGGGGTCTGCTTTTCTGGGCAGTTGGATTCGTGGCAGCCAAAAGCCTCTCTGCAATTCACAAAAGTAAACCGTTGTGTTCAAATGATGGAGCGAAACTGATTCCAAAAATTTAAGACGAGAAGAGTATAAAGATCCTAACCTGCTGGAGTACCATGGCGCTCTCCTTTGGTGTCTTTCTTGTATGCGTAAGATACTGTTATTTGACGATTACACAGATATTGTCCAGTCATTGCCTGCAATAGTTGGACAACGATCAGAGGAATATACTACCATTGGATTAGGTGAACAGGGATGTTATACATGTAAAATATAGTGGACTCAATCAAGTATCATAGAACTGCGAGATATGAAAGAAGCAGATAATTACCTCAATAGCAGCATCAGATGCCTCAAAGGAGTCATAGCTGATGAAACCAAAACCTCGTGAGTTTCCAGTATCCGGATCTCTCATTATCTGAAACGAAACATATTCTAACATTAGAGTCTAAATCGCAAGACCATTCTTTTCAACAAATGGTTTATTACTATTGATTGGGTGACCTTAGGATCAAGAATCATGGACTGACATCTAATGAAATAAATAAAAAATACCTTAGGATTAGAAGCAATCACACCAAATGCACTGAAAGTATCATACAACTGCTTCTCATCCACATCCTATAAAATAAAACAAACCCTGGTCAGCTACGAGAGTAAATTAGATTTGTAGAGTAACAAAACCAGAGTGTACCCCCGAGATACTTACAGGGTCAAGGTTCCCAATGAAAAGGTTAGCACCAACATCCAAACTTTTCTTATCTTGAGACGCCTAATACAATATTAATCAGCAAACAAAATGTTAGCAAGTCAAAGGAGATATACTAAATAAGTCTCTGCATCAAAACTCACAAAATCCATCCGGTCAAGATCTCGAGAATTCATAAGGAACTGAAACATAAGACAGGATGCTGAACAATGGATGTTACAGAAAAAGTTTGATACCTTGTTAACACGTATAGGCTTCCCATAGAGCTTAATCATGTTAAGAACCTTAATTGCCTGCACAAAAGCATCAAAATTTGTTAACCATTGTCCCCAAAAGGAAATCTAAGAAACTCCTCACAGTAAGGAAAAAGAGCAAAACTTACATAGTCAGCATCTTCCTCACTACGGTATTCAATAAAGCCATAGTTCTGATGAAGATTTGTCACTCTATCTTTCGGAACATAGACGTTAACTGATACAATCCAAAAAACCAGAGAAAGCTAATATCAGAATATTACCAAGTTCCTAACCCAAACCCTATCATTTCGTTTCAAGTTCCATTAGCTACCGAAGGAGAAATTGATATGAACTTACCAACAGGTCCGGCTTGAACAAACAATTCCCAAAGCAATTCTTCAGAAAGCTGACATTTCAAAGACGAAATGAAATCAATTTCACTAAATATTCAGCTCAAATCACAGACGAAGATGAGAAAAACACAAAACCTAAATAGTTAAAAGAACCTGAGCATCGAGATTCCCAACGTATACAGTGGCGTCTTGGTTCCTCTCAGCGGAGTGTTGGCCGAGAAGATTAGCTCCAACACCAGGAGCGATTCGAGTCGTCATCTTCTTCTTCTGCTTCTTCTTCTCCTTGTTTCCTTACTCCGTCGCCCGCCGATTGAGAAATCTGAGATTTTGTAGCTTCTAGAACGAAGAGAAGAGTGACGAAAGAGGTTTATTTATTTTTAGTGAGCCGTCATTAATGGGCCTATATACCCATTAAGCTTTTCTTTTTAGATCCACTAAGAAAGAGGTTTATTTATTCTTAGAGTGTGCCGTCATTAATGGGCCCATATACCCATTAAGCCTTTCTTTTTAGATCCACTAAGCTCTTTAGCCCATTTGTTTTTATTTATTCAATCTACAATTTGCTAGAAGAAAACTAACTAATGGGCCTATAGTATTGTAGTCTTAAACCCTAAAGACATTTGTGGGTTTTAGTTTTACGACACTATCACTCCCTCCTCCTCCGTGCACGGTGGCCGACGCTTGCTCGCAATGACGCCGTCTCGTTTATATCTCAGCTTCCTCCGCCGCTTCTCCACCGCCGCTGTAACCACTGCTTCTTCCGGCCCAATCACTATCTCCAAAGCTAAACTCAAACTCCGCAAAGTACACGATCCCGACAAAGCCTTGGCGATTTACAACTCCGTCTCCAAAAATGCCTCATCTCCTCTCTCCTCACGCTACGCCATGGAGCTCACAGTCCAACGCCTCGCCAAATCTCAACGCTTCTCCGACATAGAAGCTTTGATTGAGTCTCACAAAAACAATCCGAAGATAAAAACAGAGACTTTTCTCTCTACATTGATCAGATCTTATGGAAGAGCTTCAATGTTTGATCATGCTATGAAGATGTTCGAGGAGATGGATCAGCTCGGCACACCCAGATCCGTTGTTTCCTTCAATGCCTTACTCGCTGCTTGCCTTCACTCTGATTTGTTCGAAAGAGTCCCCCAACTGTTCGACGAAATTCCTCAGAGGTATGATAATATAACTCCTGATAAAATCTCTTACGGTATGTTGATTAAATCGTATTGTGACTCTGGTTCGCCTGAAAAAGCTATGGAGATTATGAGAGATATGGAGGTTAAAGAAGTGGAAGTTACCATCATTACTTTCACCACTATATTAGGGTCTTTGTATAAGAATGGCTTAGTAGATGTAGCGGAAAGCTTGTGGTCCGAGATGGTGAATAAAGGTTGTGAATTGGATAACACGGTTTATAATGTTAGACTGATGAATGCTGCGAAGGAAAGCCCCGAGAGAGTCGAGGAATTGATGGAAGAAATGAGTAGTGTAGGATTGAAACCTGATACAGTTAGCTATAACTATCTCATGACTGCGTACTGCGTGAAAGGAATGATGGGTGAAGCCAAGAAAGTGTATGAAGGGCTTGAGAAAGAACACAATTGTGTTCCAAACGCAGCGACGTTTAGGACGTTGATATTCCATCTGTGTATAAACGGGTTGTATGATCAAGGTTTAACGGTGTTTAAGAAGAGTGCGCTGGTGCACAAGATTCCGGATTTCAAAACGTGTAAGCATTTGACTGAAGGATTGGTGAAGAATAATAGAATGGAAGACGCAAGAGGAGTGGCTAGGACTGTGAAGAAGAAATTCCCTCCGCGGTTAGTAACCGAGTGGAAGAAACTAGAGGAAAAGCTCGGATTGTATTCAAAGGCCAGTGTTGCTGCTGCTGCTTCATCTTCTTCTCAAACAAGAGAAGTGTTAGATCAAGAAAGAGACGATGTTGCATAAAGTTCAAGAATTTGCTAAGAAAGATCTTGTTTTTGTCTGTGCTTACTCGCTTCAGCTTATTTTATGACTTGTGGAACTGTGATCTAGCGTGATGAAGATTATAATACATGAGTTTATCTTAGATTCGAGTTTGATATAAATATTTCAATTCCAGTTGGTAACTCAACACTTGCTTTAGATTTTGATTTAGTTACTCAATTTACCACAAACTTCATCTTCGCAAAGACAAATCGCTACCTCATCCGTTATACTACACTCTCATTCTTTTCCACATCTCATAAACATCAAACTTTATATCATAAAGAGATGCTCAGATTTACAAAAACAAACACTCAAACCAATATGCCTTAAGTCTCGTCCACCATAACTTCCATGGTAGCGAAGTGTGGTTGTGGCTGGGGCGGCCATCTCCGCTTTGCTTCTTCTTCTTCTCGTTTCCTTCGTTCCTCTTCAGCTCTTTTAGCTGCTTCTTCTTCTCTCTTCCTCTCTTGTTCTCTCCTCATAGCCTCCTCTTCACGTTTCTTCCTCTCCATCTCTTCTTTCTCTTTCCTCTGTCTTTCTTCCTCTCGTCTTTTCGCCATCTCTTCTTCTTCACGCCGCTTCCTTTCTTGCTCCTCATGTCTCTTCCTCTCAATTTCCTCACGTTCTTTTCTTTGCCTCTCTTCCTCTTGTTTCTTAGCCATCTCTTCTTCTCTCTTTCTCTCCTCTTCTCGCTTCCTAGCTTCTTCTTCACGTCTTTTCCTCTCCATTTCCTCTCGCTCTTTCTTCTGCCTCTCTTCTTCTCGTTTCTTCGCCATTTCTTCTTCCTCACGTCTTCTCCTCTCTTCTTCTTGACTCTTAGCTTCCTCTTCTTCTCTTTCCCTTTCTTCTTCTCTCTTTCTCGCCTCTTCTGCTTCCTCCTCACGTCGCTGAGCTTCTTCCTCCTCCCTCTTCCTTTCTTCTTCTCTCTTTCTTGCCTCCTCTTCTTTCCTTCTACGCTCAATTTCTTCCTCTTCACGTCTCCGCTTCTCTTCCTCTCGTCTCTTAGCTTCCTCCTCCTCCCTCTTCCTTTCTTCTTCTCTTTTCCTTGCTTCCTCTTCCTCTTTCCTTCTTCGCTCAATTTCTTCCTCCTCACGTCTCTTCCTCTCTTCAATCTCCCTCATAATCTTTGCAAGCTCTCCCTCCGCACAAGACACACAATCCAATATCACATTTTCTCTCTGAGCTTCCAAGAGCCCCTTTATTGTCTCATTACTCAAGTTGAAAGACACCGCAAGTACCATCGGGTCCAATACTTTCAGAACCGAGCTCGGTCCTACTAAGAACTGAGGGTGGTTCGTCTTCGCTGAAGTGCTAAACCCCATAAATACAAATGAACTGTTTTCAAAAGACATTTGAGCCATAGGACGAAACTTCGGCACAACAAAAACATCTCCTTCCTCAACCATGAACCTCTCGCTCTTGCTATTGTTCTTGCAAGAAGACAACGATTGTTGGTTAACCACCCGTATCATACCTTCCCCTTGTATCACAATGGATATCTCACAAGCACTAGGGTTCCAATGCGGTGCCATCATTGATCCCTACATAATTCATTTTAAGTCACATCAAGACAAGACTACTAACTCATGAACCAATCCAATATGGTATTAGAATTAAGTGCCTTAACCTTAGTTAGATTGACCATGAAAACACCAAATCTTGAACCCTTTAAAGCATCCAAATCTTTTTCATCTACCACTATGCTCCGACCATTGTTGTTCTCAAAGTCCGGGTCAGCCTCAAAAACATTGAACGTTCTTGATTTCTTTTTGTTAACATCAACGATTGGTTTCATGGCCAAATGATCAGCGACATCTTCAACTCTAACAAAGAGCCTAACAAGCCGTGTTTGCCACTTATCCTCCTCCGAGCTTTGTGTTCTGTTTCTCGGCAGAGCATTTATGATCAGCGGAGGCTTTGTTGCATCTCTTATCCTCCTCAAAACATCCTCATGAACCTTCCACATCATCAACACCAATGTAATCAGTTAAACAACAACCACATATAAGATTATGTCATGTAGTAGACGTACGTACCGCAAAAGCTGACCGGAGAGTTCTATCGTCGAAACCCAATAAAAGGTCTCTAATACTCGAGTAGGCTCCAAGGCATGGATCGTTTAAACACTTCCCCACGTCAAAGATTGCGTAAAGCCTAAGTTTCTCTGGAACTTTGTCTCTCTCCAAGCTATTGCTATGTACGTAGAAGACTGTACCGGACCTTAGCCTATAAACATCTCCTCTTCTTAATTCTAACGTCCTCTCGCTCTCCTCCTCCACCCAATTTAAAGTCCCACTTCCTAATACACAATAACACAATCTTAATTACAATCAAAGTAGATATAAATAATCAATTTTAAGTTACATTATATTTATTTAATTTTTAATGAGCCAGTGAGTAGAAAATTCAAGTGTTACCAGTGTGAACGAATAAGACCATGTCGGAATGGAGAAGAAGAGGAAGCAAGAGTGCGTTTGGCTCCAATGTTATGAACTGAAGGTGATATCCATCACCGATCTGAACGGTTGATATCTCTCCGAACTCAGTTGTGACGATTGGTGTGCGTTGATCCCTCTTGACCAGAAGTGGTGAAGAAAACGAAGATGGGACGAGGCCATTATGGTCGGGAAAAGACTGTGTGAAGAGGAACAGGGTGATGAGATAGACACAAACAGAGAGTGGAAGTAACGTAAATCTCGACATTGTTGGTTACTTTTAGTTGCATACTCTAATGAGACTATTCAGATCTTTTTATTAACGCATAAAGAGAAGTATATGGGAACTAGAGAGAGATGGTGTATGGACACTTGTCGTGATAAGTGAACACGTGTAACGTTACCTTGACACGTGGTGAATTAATTCTTGATACTAATCTTGATATTCATGAATGACCATCGTTGAAGAAAATATTATGATATCGTCGAAGATAAAACATACTCGCTTTTGATTGGTGACTAAACAAATGTTAAAATCGTTGAAGGGGAAAAATTGTGATTTGTGCTTGCACTTTTCTATGGAGCTTCGTGGCAATATTTCATTATCTCTAATGATGTGTGGTAATTAGATAAAATTCTAAAGTAGTAAAAGTCCAGCCCATTATGTTAATGTAGTTGCATGCATTAGGTTTTGTTATGGTTATAGAAAACTTCGTATTTTGTGTGCATATAAATTAAGAGAAAGAAAATGTTTGCTCAAATTAAACTCTTACTTTTTTTTAAAATTAAACTCTTACTTTTTTGTATGTTTTTATTAAGTTCTTGCAAGTTAGCAGATTAATGATCATGTTTATTTAACACTATAACATGACCTAAGCATAAGTTAGGTCTAAGTCAAGTAGAGCATGCTATATTGCACAAGTGGGGAGAAACACACTATTTGGTAGAAGAATATATATAAAGGATGGGAGAACGATTACATTTGATTTCGACTAAAGGTAGGTGTGAAAGAGTACTGATCAATACTAATATATAGTGTTAGAAATGTGAGTGAAAGGGAGTAAATTATATGAATGGAAAACGTGTAAAGTAATATAATCTTAGAGCAAAGGCTAAAATACCCAAACAACATATCCAACCTTCCAAAATATGATTCCCCCATTTCTAAGAAAAGCATGTTGTGAATGTGACTACTCATTATGTTACTTTTCCAAATTGTAAGAGATTGAAGATGCTCCACTCCTCTTTCCCTAAGATTTCTTGTTAAGTTCACTTTTTAGTGATTTTAAAATATTTCTATAGTTTTTGATCACGAAAAACATTTAAAAATTGTGACAAAGTTTGTGCTATTTGTAAATGCCACAAATAGGTTAAACTAAGGTATAGATTTGATCATGAGTGAGTTATGAAAATTAATTATGAACATATGTGTAGTCATAGATTGATAGGAAATATTCGTAGATAAAACTTTCTAGTAATTTTCTCTTTTGAATCATTAAGTTATATTGGTCTTCTTTACAATTACTCACTTCGCTACAAATCTATATGTAACCATTTACATCGTTTTTCTTGCACTATGCAACCATTTACTTACTTTAAAATTTTGTTACATTTTTCTATTTTGGCACTATAAGTCGATTTACGAACGTCAATATAAATCTAGAAGTACCTAGAAAAAAATTATGAAACACATGCATGAGTCATGAACCATGAAGAAAGAACTACATGCCATATAGATTAACGTCAAGTGGAAATTTTTAAGTGAAAGCTCAAAAGAAAAAGAAAAAAACCCATCAAAATGAAACTATTTTTAACTTCGAATCAATCATTGGGGTTATACATTATCGTTAGATATGCACAGCTATGAACTTCACAAAAAAAAAAAAAAAAAAACCTTTCTCGATCTTTTTATGAATTTTAACCTTTCTATGTTTATATATTAATGAAAGCGATCTTTTTATATGTGTGAATGACATAAAATCAGAATCTACAAGCAAAAAAATAAAACCTTTATTGCTTTTGTAAGCTTCAAGCTTTCCTTACTTTTAAAATGAAACGTATGTGCGTTGTGTATCATCGGCCTCTCCTTTGTTTTCCTTACTTCCTAAGTATTTGACTCTTTTTCTTTTGTTAAGAGTCTAAAACAAATAACTTCCATTAGTGAAATCTTCACAAAACTTCATCATATTTGGAAACAACTAGGAATGAAAACATGTTTAACCTATATATTAGAGGTGCCCGTTATGTTAAAACTCATATTTACTTAGCGAGCTATGTGTGACCCTAAGAATCTAATACACTTTGCCAAATTCCTATGAAAAAATACTCGCAAAGTTGGAACAATACTATACATCAGTTGATGGATTTGTTTTAAAAATATGATCACATGTGCTAAATTAGCTTAGTTTAGATTTTAGACTGCTGATGAATATTTAAGGTTTTAAGAACATTATTAATGGTGGAATTATAGGTATAAGATTTACGCTAGAGAGTATATTAACGGTGGGATTAGGTATAACTTATAAGTAACACAATAATACTACATCGTAAAAGATGAAAAGGTGACTTTTTCTCCAATTTGGCTTCCAAGTGTTTTGATTTGAAATAAGAATTCACATGAGGTGCATATGTGCATGGTTTATGAATCTATAAAAAGAAAATAAAATGTTTTTTTGTGATTAGAAATCAAACATAGTGTGTAACTCCAACATCAGCAAAAATCTTGAATTTGATACACAACTAACCAAAAAAAAAAGTAAAGTAAAAGAATATATCTTTTAAATCTACAGTACAATTATTGATATAAAAACACAACATGACAATTTAAAAAACCTCACTTTTACAAAAACAAACACAAACCTTTCTTCTTCCTCAAACATGAGAGCCCCTGCTTCTTCAGACAACACCAACAGTAACTCAAATCTCATCTGCTATAATAACGAACCTACTTCTGTCCTCGATCTCCGCCGAAGCCCAAGTCCAGCTACGGCGGAGGAGAAACCAGTTGGTAATAATAATACTAATCAATTCCCTATAGAAGATGATCATCATCATCATCATGTGATGCGTTCAATGGATTGGGATTCAATTATGAAAGAGTTAGAATTAGATGACGATTCTACCCCTACCCTCAAGTCTAATTTCCCAACTTTTGCCATTTCTCCACCTCTCCCTGTCTTTCCCGATCAGTTTCATCCGCCGGAGTTTCCTGGTCACGGTCACGGATTCATCGACAACAACAACGAAGGTGGTGGTGGATTTGATTTCGTTGAAGATCTCATACGAGTCGTGAACTGTGTTGACTCGGACGAGTTACAACTCGCTCAGGTGATATTGTCACGGCTCAATCAACGTTTGAGATCTCCGACGGGAAGGCCGTTAGAGAGAGCAGCGTTTTACTTTAAGGAAGCTCTCGGTTCTCTAATAACCGGAACTAACCGGAATCAAAACCGGTTATCTTCCTGGTCCGAGATTGTTCAAAAAATCAGAGCGGTCAAAGAGTTCTCCGGTGTATCTCCGATCCCTCTCTTCTCTCATTTCACGGCGAATCAAACGATCCTCGATTCATTAACCGTACGTTCATCTTCGCCGCCGTACGCTCACGTCGTTGATTTCGAAATCGGATTTGGTGGTCAATACGCGTCGCTCATGAGAGAGATCGCCGAGAAATCAGTTAACGGAATCGGGTTTTTAAGAGTTACGGCGGTTGTTACGGAGGATTCCGCCGTCGAGACGCGTCTTGTTAAAGAGAACTTAGCTCAATTCGCCGCGGATCTGAAAATCAGATTTCAAATCGAGTTCGTTCTGATGCGTACGTTTGAGGTGTTATCTTTCAAAGCGGTTAGGTTTGTTGAAGGAGAGAGAACCGTCGTTTTGTTATCTCCGGTGATATTCCGTCGTTTAAACGGAATCTCCGGTTTCGTTAACGATTTACGGCGAGTTTCGCCGAAGGTCGTCGTCTTCGTCGATAGCGAAGGATGGACGGGAATCTCAGGAGGAGCTGGATCGTTTCAGAGAGAGTTCGTTAGTGGTTTAGAGTTTTACACGATGGTGTTTGAATCTCTCGACGCCGCCGTTGCTTCTCCGGGAGGTGGTGATTTGGTGAAGAAGATCATAGAAGCGTTTGTGTTGCGACCTAAAATCGCGTCTGCGGTTGAAGCGGGTGCGGATAAGAGAGGAGGAGAGATGATGACGTGGCGAGAAGCGTTCTGTGCGGCGGGGATGAGGATGGTTCCGTTGAGCCAATTCGTTGATTTTCAAGCTGAGTGTTTAGTGGAGAAAGCGCAAGTCAGAGGGTTCCACGTGGCGAAACGTCAGGGAGAGTTAATGCTTTGTTGGCACGAAAGGTCTCTCGTTGCCACGTCAGCTTGGCGGTTTTATTGAACTAACCGGGATTGGTTGAATATAGTTGTTGTAGAGGGTTTGGTTTGATTTGGTTTTATTATTTCTATTCTATAAACATTATTAACAAGATTATAAATATAAACAATCCGTAATTCCAAATAAGAACCACTCTAAGGGGGTGTATTCAAAGTGGAATTTTAAGTGATTTGTAAAAAGTTTACAAATCCAGTGTTATTCAATCATGAATTTTAAAAAGTCTCATGAAATCCAGTGTTATTGAACTAATCATTTTAAAATCCACCTTAAAATCCATTGTTATTGAAAACAGTTTGTGGATTTGATTTTAAATGATTTCAGAGGATTTTAGTGGATTTCAGAGAACTTCCTTAGTTAAAAATATAAGAATCCAAATCTCATAGTTTTAAGTGTCTTCTCCTTATGCTCACTTCCATCAGCATATTTTTTTGCTCTTCTATTACTAATTTTCCCCCTTATTTCATTTTTCTTTAAACTCTTTATCATCAAATGATTCGAGTTGCGATTCGAGTAAAATACATAATTACTGGACGAAAGTTTCTCTAAAATCAATAATAATCAAAATTAACGGTTATTGGCTCCACCTCATGACAATATTACAACATTTGACTATGAATCAAGGCTTACATTTCTCCTCAATTTCCTTGACAACCAAGGCAAGGATCGAGGGAGCTCCTAGTTCATCAGTTTTTTTACATCAAACTTACACCATAATTCTATAGCTAAATAAGGACTTGCTCAATTCCTTCATATCAAACACATATATACAACAAATTCATTCTCTAAATTTTTCAAGGCTCTTTCAAATTTATTTTTGATCCATTTTGATACAAGGATGCATTCATTGTAAAAAGAACATTATTTTGTTTTGAATTTGTTTACACATTCTTAAAAAAAAAAAAAATAGACAACGAAGAGATACATAAGCTCCACAAAGCGAAATTCAGACAAAACAAAACATAAGAACTGGAATTTTGTAATAACATTGAGAAATGGCAATTCATATACAATTTCTGTGTGAATTGAGAAATGGCAAATTAACATTAATCTGCCCCAAGACACCTTTCCTACTTTCTCGTTTTCTAGATCATAAAGATTCAAGAACTCATCTTCATTGTAGGCAACCCCATTAATTGGCCATTGAAAGAGTAATCTTCTTAAATTGAATGTGAGTGGTTGAAAAATAAATGAATGATAACAAATACCGTATTTATTCAATTTGGTCCCAACATCTAACTACATATAGAAACACAAATTAAAACACGTTGGTAAAAAAACTACATTCTTATATTTCCCTCTTCAGTCTACTCATAAGTACGCTTCTTAAGGATTCTTCTAAATTTTTATCCGTAAATGTTTCACTTTCCTAAGCTGGTTAAAAGAATATTAAGCACCCTAATGCAATTATTGAAGTAACACAAAATTTTAAGAGATCTTTTCTTCCTATCTATCCAAAAAAAAAAAGAGAGAGGAGAAATTAATTTCCCGGACCATGCAATGTGATGAAGGGGCCGGGGATCAATTACAGTTTGTGGTTGCAAATTGTAGACCTACTAGTATTTAAGCGAGCCTTGTGTCATCACCTACAAGCTTAAATCTCCACATACATTATATTTTGAGATCAAACAACTAATCAATCAAAAAAATGGATGCAAAAACTTTGGTTCTAAGTGTGCTCGTAATGAGTCTGTTCATGGCACAAATTCAAGTCGACGCCAAGAGCTGTTGTCCATCCTCCACTGCTAGAAACATCTATAACACTTGCCGCTTTGGAGGAGTTCCAAGTTCAATATGTGTAGGCCTCAGTGGCTGTCTATTAATTGGTGGGTCGAAATGTCCTAACGGATATACATATGACGTTCTCGAAAACACAGGTACATTGATTATTATCGCGATATATTACATACATTATTTGTTACAAAACGGATCAAGATTTCATTTGTTTGATGTGTTTTTATTTTTCTTTCTTTTCCAAGGTAATGCTGTCCAAAATTACTGCAAGTTGGGGTGCGTATCCTCCGTATGCGGTGCCCTAACCATCCTCGAGAACTCTGGTAAACAAACCTCTCAAACTCATCATCACTATCATTTGATTTTTTATACAAACCTCTCAAATTTTGTTTTGATAACTAGATGCAAGTAAAATCGTGACTGGAGCGGTTGAAAAATGTGTCAACGCATGTTCTACCGTCTGCACCAAGGGCTCGATGAATGCAGTTGAAATCGCCTAGACAACCATAAAAATACCACGGGTGAAGCCGTGAAGGAGGTTCACAATGTTGTTGTTCTTCATTTTTTCAATAATTGTCATGTATGTGACAGATACACTGTTGCGTGTTTGTTTATGTGTGTAGAAGGTTGTCAATCTGTAGATTGTATATGCCTTATGTTATGTATCTTTTTTTTTTTTTTGAATGAATGTTAAATTTATTAACCAAAAAAAACTGTTTTACAATATATCCAGCTTTTAGTAGAAAGGTTATTGAAATAGATTAAAAAAACAGCTCTAATATTGATCTAAATTTGTGGTCTCGAAGCAAACCAAACTTGAAGTCCATTTTGGTGTTTTCCTTGTTGTAAGGAGCAGAGCCTGTTACGTATAATATGTTATGTATCTTTTCATTAATGAAGAAATATTGTTTGTATTATTCTTATGTTCTCATCCATTTTCTGTTGTTCTTTTCTTTTTTTCCCGAACAATAGTCTTTCTATGAGTATCTCATATCATGACAACATATGCTTCTTAATTAATAACCATTTTTTTTGAACTATTTTTTTCTCATTAAGGTTATTTTCGAGCTTTTTTTAACGTCAACTTTGAACTAGAACGTTTTGTAAACCTTTAAATTGAGTTTCCAAATAATATTTTAGAAGATATTATTGATGTTTGTTTAAGAAGTGGAGTGAATTAGAATCGTCACTGAACTTGAAAAGTCTAAATTAGTATTTTTAATAGAATTCATTTATTAACTCTACTAACAACAATATTATCTTCGTGTTACTAATATATCTTCAATATTATGTATTTACTTGCACACGATAAAATTTTACTACCATTAGAGATAATAATAACAAGATTAAATGTTAAATGGAAAGTTATATAATGGGAAACACGTAAACAATAGGATCACTAGTGACCATTACTTTGAATTTGAATTCGGCGCCTGCGGAAGATAAACATTTTAAATCTTTATAATATCTACATAATTAACAAAATAAGTGTGGAGTCCTCTCAAAACCTTTGAACAAAAAAATAATAAATGTATTTTAGTGACATAAATAGCCAAATAATTTTTTAAAACCTCTTTGTATACATGTTTCTTGAAACCGGGATGTCACAACCATGGGCGGATTTAGGGTGGGGCATGTACCCTATACTCCTTCTTAAAGTTTAGATAATAGTTATATTGTAATTGATTCCCTTGGCTCAGTTGGCAATTGATCACTTCTTGTGTTTTCTAGGATGTGAGTTCGAATCTGGCTGTTGCTTTTTTCAGTTATATTTTTTTTTCCCAATTAAAATATTCTCTGAAAAATATTAGTAAACCTAATAAATTACTAACATTAAACAAAAGTGCTCTCTTTTGTATTTTTTAATGTTTCTTATTAAGAAATTAAATATATATATATATATATATATATGTTATATGTAATTAAATGTACAAAATGAGCCTAAGTTTTTGAAAGTTCTGTTTTTATTGGTTTAGATTCCGTTTTCAATTTCAAACTTTAAAATATATTAATAATTTTCAATATACAGTACATTAATATTATCCCAAATATATGTTTATAATATAAGTTTGAAATTATTAATTATATGTACTTTGTGCTCCATACAATATGTTTCTCTACATCAGCCACTGGTCACAACAAATGTTTTGGTTTGATGGATGAAACACTGGAAGCAATGAGGGAGACTTAAAGCTTGTCGTGTGACTAGAATCAACATTTAGGACTCGACATTGTAAAGATTATCTATACTCTTAAGTTTAAAGTATTGTTCTTTTCGCGTTTATTAAACTTTCGGTAAAAGAATCGATCCTCTTAACAATTGGTGAAGCCTTTTAACTCTTTTTTCTTTTTTCAGCAATATATCATAACAACTGTTGATTTGGGGTATAAGTTCTATATGGGGGATTAGTAATTTTTATAATTTGATTGTTAATCATAACTCCTTATTTGTAGTTTATACTATTTACATGAATTTAATAACAGTATTAACAAAGGTTGGTTTTTTGATTAAAAAAAAAACAAAGGTTGGTAAAAGTTTGGTCTCAGTCTCTCAGAATAAACTAGAGCCAAAATTTCTTGCTAAGATATTTTATTATATAAAGTTTGATTTCAAAAAGTTTTAATTCACGTGATCGTGACACAAATCATATCTATCAATTATATTTTGACACATGCAAAATAAAAAGTTATAGAATTTTTTTTTAAAGATATTACACAATAGATTAGAAATTGTGAGAATAAAAGGAAACTTACATACAAATTTACAATCACGAATGTTAGAATTATAAACAAGTTCTCTCGGTCTAATGTGTAAAAATATTGATATGGCTCAAACATTTAATTCATCTACTTTGTGACAAAAGCTTCCCACTAAAAACTGTGTCTTTAATTCATATCAATTTGCGATTACTTTTTTTCATCACAATGAAGTCAACTAATAATATTATAACCGTCGCGAATATGAGAGGATTTAACATTGTGTGGTCATAGTTTTGTGACGGTTTTGCAATTACTATATGTCTAGTAGTTTAATGATCTCTCCTCGTATTAATTAAGTAGCATATGTTGTCATTAATTATATGAGAAGCTTATAGAAAAGAACAACTGAAAATGGATGAGAGCATAAGATTAATACAAACATTTATTCATTATTGAAAAGATAGAGAGTAGAAGACTTATAACCTTCTACACACATACACAAACGAGCACGAGAGTCTTAACATTGTTGTCACATACATGGTAATTATTGGAAACATGGCAAACAACAGTGTAAATCTCCATTCACCCGTGGTATTTTTATGCTTGTTTAGGCAATTTCAACTGCATTCACCGAACCCTTGGTGCAGACAGTAGAACATGCGTTAGCACATTTCTCAACTGCTCCACTCACGATTTCACTTGCATCTAGTCATCAAAACAAAATTGAACGGCTTAGTATTTTTTTCGATGAACTATATATATATATATATATATATATATAAATTTGTAATAGTGTTAAATAAAAGAGTTTGAGAATTTTGCTTTACCAGAGTTCTGGAGAGTAGTTAAGCCACCGCATACAGAGGATACACACCCCAACTTGCAGTAAGCATCGATAGCATTACCTTGAGACAAAAGGAAATAAACACATCAAACAAATGAAACAAACGTAATATTTCGCCATAGTAATCAGTGTACCTGTGTTTTCGAGAGTGTCATGCGTATATCCATTAGGACATTTCGTCCCACTAATGTTTTTGCAGCCACTGAGGCTTGCACATACTGGCCTAGGAGTTCCAGCAAAACGGCAAGTATTATAGATGTTTCTAGCAGTGGTGGATGGACAGCAGCTCTTAGCGTTGATTTGCGCTATGAACAAACTCATTACGAGCACACTTAGAACCAAAGTTTTTCCTTCCATTTTTTCGATTGATAAGTTGTTTGATCTCAAAGTATAATGTATGTGGAGAGTTAAGCTTGTAGGTGATGATACAATGATGAAACAAGGCTCCCTTAAATACTAGTAGGTCTAGAATTTGCAACCACAAACTTGATTTGATCCTCCTTGAGTCACATTGCTCTAATAGACTCTCTACACGTTGCATGGTCCACCTTATCACAATGGCTGCTACCCTTCACGTCCGGGAACTTACTTTCTTCTCTTTTTTTCATTTTTTTTTTTTAACTTTGATTAGATAGGAAGAAAAGACCTCTTAAAATTCTGAGTTACTTAATATTTGAATTTGGGTACTTAATATTATTTTTACAATTTGCTATTACATGTTTGTTCTGCTGGTTATATTTTGTATGTTCGTGCGGTCTATAGTTTATGAGGCAATGAACTGCTCTGCTCATATCTTGTGTGATTCTTGATCAAAGAAGTTTACCGCAGGGTTTGATCGAAACTGTGTAAGAATACGAACAAGCAAAGAAGTCTAACACAGTCGGCTTACCTCAAAGTATTTTGAATTATAAAACGTTAAGATTTTACTGTTAAGATTTAGTTGGTATATGAACGACATATAAGTATATTTGTCTAAAGATGAGTTATACTGTTAACCTTCTCTAAATTCACCAGTTAAGGTGAGTGAAGGGTTACAAACATTTATTGATAATAATTTCGAAGAATCATTAAGATGCGTACTTATGTGTATAGATTGAAGTGGGAAAGATAAGAACGTAGTTTGTTACAAACGTGTTTTGTGTTTCTGTAGTTATGTAGAGATCCTAGGTGATGACAAATTCAATTATCATTTATCATACAAAAATCCAAAAAGTTTGTTACCAACGTGTTTTAATTTGTGTTTCAGTATTATATTTTGGGACCAAATATAATATATGATCTCATTCATTTACTTTTCAACCACACATTCAATTTGAAAAGATTACTATTTCTTTCAATGGGGTTGCCTGCTATGAAGATGAGTTCTTGAAAGCGAGAAAAATAATGTATCGAGAAGTAAAAAAAAAGGTGCCTTGGAGAAAAACAATTAGAAGAAATTTGTGATTCACATTGTATCATTGAACTAAGTTCAGCAAAATCATAAACATGTATCATCATCTCTATGTCAAGAAGCAACAAACTTCGACATTGACCTTTAGCACTTGTAAGCTCTTATTGTGTCATCTTTGTTGATGTGCAATTCTTAACACTTAAAAGTGTGAGATATCAAGGTAAGTAATCAAAACTTATCTATAGCGACAATCCCAAACTTAGGCTAAACATGACGGTTACAAGGTCGACTCGTAGGCCGCTTACAAAAGGTGACCGAGGCCGAGGTATAAAAGGGACTAGACGAGCTTATACTCGACGAGTGAGCTAGAATAACTATTTTGTACTTTTCTTTGCGTTTATGAAATGTTCTTATGTGTTTCTTTTGTGGATGTCGTTGTAACGCCCCTACCGTCATCTCTCTAGTGGGCTCCATGTTCACCATCAATCTATGGGTCCACCTCTTTTAATGGGTCTCACGTCCTCTCACTAGGTCCATGATCCCATCAATATCCGACGGTCGGTTTGCTATGCCAGGAAGGCTTAAAAACTTGTTTACCGACCCTACAAATCACCACATGATCTTTCCCTGTGTTTTGGCCTCACTCACACAGTTCCGACAACCACTTCCCGGAATGCCACCCATCATTTGACTACTCCAGCATAAGCACACTTAACTTTGGACTTCTCTCAAGATCCTTGACCAAAAAGATAAGTGTACTTTGGTGACATAGGTGGCCAAATCAATTCATTTAAACCTCTCCGCAAACTGGGATCTCACAAATTGTTCTTGTGTTTATTGGCTCAGTGTTGTAGAAAATTTATGAATCTGTTTTGATGTCATGATGATGATCTTGTGTGTGAGTATTGATAAGTTATTGTGAGTCACTTTTGCAGGCCAAATATTGATGAAGTTGTTTAAGTTCAGACAAAAAGGATGTTGATCAGTTCAGACAACAAATCAGAAACAGAAGAGTCCATGTATTGCTCTCTCGTCATGTATTGCTATTTCGTAAACCAGTTTGACTATGTATTGATATTTATGGTATGTAGCAATCTCATATGATAATACTGTTTTTTTTTTAAGCAACCATGAAGAGTCCTACAATTAGACAATCAATATTTCCAAAATTAATCAAAAGTTGCTTAACCATCCAATTATCAAAATGTAATAAAAAAAAATTGGTAAACACTATTGAAGGGTGCTTACAATTGGAGGTACTCTAACAAACGCAAATTTTCTAAAATCGACAGAAACATATAACTATGATCTTTATTTGGTCAACATATAACTATGATCTTTTTTTGATCAACATATAACTATGATCTTTTTTTGGTCAACATATATATAACTATGATCTTTTTTTGGTCAACATATAACTATGATCTTTTTTTGGTCATCATATAACTATGGTCTATGCTTACAATCGTTAACAACAACGGCATGGTTCGTCAATTTTACATTAATCTTTCACCATAGTTCTTTTGTTAAACAAGGACTTACTTAGTGCACAAAAAAAAAAAAAAAAAAAAAAAACAAGGACTTACTCAATTCCTTCATATCAAACATAGTTATGCTCCAAGACATCTTTTTTTTTTTTTTACTCGATACTTTATATTTCTCTATCTCTAGATCATAATTAAGATTCAAGAACTCATCTTCATAGTAGGCAACGCCATTGAAAGAGAGTAATCTTGTAATGGAATGTGTGGTTGAAAAATAAATGAATCAGAGAATAAATACGACAACAAGCATTAATTTTTTTTTGTTTTGTCCCAACATAATATTGAGACACAACTTAAAAACACGTTGGTAACAAACGTTTTGGATTTTTTGTATGATCAATTTGTCATTATATAAGGACCTCTACATAACTACAAGAAGTTTGTTAGAAACAAAATAAAGAAACACAAAACACGTTTGTAACAAACAACATTCTTATCTTTTCCTCTTCAGTCTACTCATACGGACGGTTCTTAACGATTCTTCGAAATTATAATCCGTAAATGTTTTTATGTCGTCCAAATCCCAACTAAAATCTTGACAGTAAAAACTTAACGTTTCAAATTCAAATATTTACACAAGAAATTACAAACACTTGCTTGTCTACTAGCTAGGTAAGCCAAGCGGGTTAGCCTTCTTTGCTTGTTCGTATTCTTACACAGTCTGGATCGAACCCTAGTGTACTTCTTTGATCAAGTATCTCACAAGATATCGCCTCGTAAACTTTAGGTCGCACGTCACTGACAGAAAATTCTAAGAGGCTAACACTAACATACAACCTATAACCAGCAAAACTAACAAGGAATAGTAAATAGAAAAAAGAATAGTAAAAAGTAAAATTTTAAGAGGTCATTTCTTCCTATCTAACCAGAAGAAAAAGAAAAGGAGAGAAGAAAGTAAGTTCCCGGACGTGAAAGGGTAGCAGCCATTGTGATAAGGTGGACCATGCAACGTGTAGAGAGTCTATTAGAGCAATGTGACTCAAGGAGGATCATATCAAGTTTGTGGTTGCGAATTCTAGACCTACTAGTATTTAAGGGAGCCTTGTTTCATCACCGTATCATCACCTACAAGCTTAACTCTCCACATACATTATATTTTGAGATCAAACAACTTATCAATCGAAAACAATGGAAGGAAAAACTTTGGTTCTAAGTGTGCTCGTAATGAGTTTGTTCATAGCGCAAATCAACGCTAAGAGCTGTTGTCCATCCACCACTGCTAGAAACATCTATAATACTTGCCGCTTTGGAGGAGGTTCAAGGCCAGTATGTTCAGGCCTCAGTGGCTGTAAAATCATCGGTGGGACGAAATGTCCTAATGGATATACACATGACACTCTCGAAAACACAGGTACATTGATTACTATTGCGAAATATTACGTTTGTTACAAGACGAATAGAGATTTCATTTGCTTGATGTGTTTATTTCTTTTTGTCTCAAGGTAATGCTGTCGATGCTTACTGCAAGTTGGGGTGTATATCCTCAGTATGCAGTGCCTTAACCACTCTCCAGAATTCTGGTAAAACAAACTTCTCAAACTCTTTTTCACTATCACTTGCTTTTTTATATATAGTTCATCGAAAAAATACAAGTCATTCAAATTTTGTTTTGATGACTAGATGCAAGTGAAATCGTGAGTGGAGCGGTTGACAGATGTGCCAACGCATGTTCTACAGTATGTACCAAGGACTCCATGAATGCAGTTGAAACTGCATAGACAAGAGCATGAAAATATCACGGGTGAAGGAGGTTCACAATGTTGTTTTTCATGCTTTCAATAATTGTCATGTATGTGATCTTGCATGTTTGTGTATGTGTGTAGAGAAGGTGTCAATCGCTAGATTGTATATGCCTTCCACTATGTATCTTTTCAATAATGAATAAATGTTTGTATTAATCTTATGCTCATATCATGACAACATATGCTACTTAATTTTTTTTTTGATCGTCAGTGAACTTGAGTAGTTAGTATACTCTTAATAAAATTCATTTTTTCAACTTTACATACTAATTAAAATAAATATTATATTTGTCTTACTAATTAATATATCATCAATAATTGTAATATATTTACTACCATGAGAGATAATAACAACAAGATTAAATGTTAAATAGAAAAATAACTTTTCAAAAGTTATAGAGTGGTAAACACGTAAACAATAGAATCACTAGAAACCATTACTTTTAATTTGAATTTGAATTCGGCAGAGGAAGATAAACATTAATTGCAAATCTTGATAACATCCCAAAAAAAGCTTCACTATCTCGATACCATAGCCTTCTCTGGCTATCAAAGGTAAATTTACAGCTTTAGCCATAAACCTGTTATGTTTCAGACTGGTATTAGCTAGTGAGTCCAAGAAAGAAGATTGAGGAGAAATGTCTTGGCTTTGATAGATGAAACACAAGCTGGAAGAAATTAGAGAGTCAGAGAGACTTGAAGCAACAATTAGATCAAACAATTGTTTAATAGTCGGAAAATAATGCCACAACTGTCACAAATATTTGTCCTTGGTTCCTAGAAATTAGTCTTTTGGGATCACACTACTGAGTAATAAAAAAAAGAAAGGTCACATATATGTAGTCCTAAATTGCAAGGTCTTTTTTGTAGTAAAAAGTTTTCTTCACCGGCACAAAATGATTGGGTAAAAAAACACAAACTCATCTTTAGTGTTTAAATAATTTATAAATGAATATGGTTAGGCCAAAAAATAAAAGAATAAACACTATGTTATTTCCCTATCCAAAACTATTTTTACTTACTTCTTATTAAAGATAGTTTTTACTTGCAAGACAAATTAATTTATATTTATGAGGGCTAAACGTCAATGTCAAAGTTTGTTAAAGTTTCTTGACATAGTGATGATAAATGTTTACGACTGTGCTGATCGCAAATTTGTTCTAATTGTTCTGCTCTTAGACATCTTATTTTTACTTTCTCGATACTTTATCTTTCTTGTTCTCTAGGTCATAAGATTCAAGAACTCATCTTCATAGCAGGCAACCCCATTGAAAGGAATAGTAATCTTCTCAAATTGAATGTGTGGTTGAAAAATAAATAAATGAATTAATGAGAACATATATTCTATTTGGTCCCAACATATAATACTGAAACACAACTTAAAACACGTTGGTAACAAACGTTTTGGATTTTTGTATGATAAATTGAATTTGTCATCACCTAGGATCTCTACATAACTACAAGAGAGTTTGTTAGAAACAAAATAAAGAAACACAAAACACGTTTGTAACAAACAACATTCTTATCTTTCCCTCTTCAATCTATACTCATATAGTCATAAGTACGCTTCTTAATTAATTATTCTTCGAGATTATTATCTGTAAATGTTTTTATATGTCGTTCATATACCAACTAAATCTTAACAGTAAAATCTTAACGTTTTATAATTCAAAATACTTTGAGCCTTGAGGTAAGCCGACCGTGTTAGACTTCTTTGCATGTTCGTATTCTTACACAGTTTGGATCAAACCCTGCGGTAAACTTCTTTGATCAAGAATCACACAAGATAGGAGCAAAGCGATTCATTGCCTCATAAACTTTAGACCGCACGAATACACAAACATGTAATAGCAAATTGTAAAAATAATATTAAGTACCAAAATTCAAATATTAAGTAACACAGAATTTTAAGAGGTCTTTTCTTCCTATCTAACCAAAGTTTAAAAAAAAAAAAAAAAAAAGAAAAGAGAAGAGAGTAAGTTCCCGGACGTGAAGGGTAGCAGCCATTGTGATAAGGTGGACCATGCAACGTGTAGAGAGTCTATTAGAGCAATGTGACTCAAGGAGGATCAAATCAAGTCAAGTTTGTGGTTGCAAATTCTAGACCTACTAGTATTTAAGGGAGCCTTGTTTCATCATTGTATCATCACCTACAAGCTTAACTCTCCACATACATTATATTTTGAGATCAAACAACTTATCAATCGAAAGAATGGAAGGGAAAACTTTGGTTCTAAGTGTGCTCGTAATGAGTTTGTTCATAGCGCAAATCAACGCCAAGAGCTGCTGTCCAACCACCACTGCTAGAAATATCTATAATACTTGCCGTTTAACTGGATCACCTAGGCCAGTATGTGCAAGCCTCAGCGGCTGCATAAACATTAGTGGGACAAAATGTCCTAATGGATATCCGCATGACATTCTCGAAAACACTGGTACATTGATTACTATTGCGCTATATTACGTTTGTTACAAGACTAATAGAGATTTCATTTGTTTGATGTGTATATTCTTTTTTGTCTCAAGGTAACTCTGTCGATGCTTACTGCAAGTTAGGGTGTGTATCCTCTGTATGCGGTGGCTTAACAACTCTCCAGAACTCTGGTAAAGCAAACTTCTCAAACTCTTTGTCACTGTCATTTGTTTTTTATATATAGTTCACTGAAAAAAATTACTAACTAACTCGTATAAATTTGTTTTGACGATTAGATGCAAGTAAAATCGTGAGTGGAGCGGTTGAAAAATGTGCCAACGTATGTTCTACAGTATGCACCAAAGGCTCGATGAATGCAGTTGAAATTGCCTAGACAAGAGCATAAAAATACCACGGGTGAAGGAGGTTCACAGTGTTGTTTTCATGTTTTCAATAATTGTCATGTTTCACAATGTTGTTTTCAACAGTGTTAAGACTCTCGTTCTCGTTTGTGTATGTGTGTAGAAGGTTGCCAATCTCTTGATTGTATATGCCTTCTACTCATATTTTAAATAATGAATAATGTGCTTCTATTAATCTTCTAATAATGTGCTTCATTTGTTCTGTTTTTTTTTTTTGGAACTGAATGGTCTTTCTATAAGCAACATATCATACCACAACCTTATAAAATTGTATATGCTAAATAGCCAAATATTCTTCTTTTCAATTTTACGTGTCTACTACACTCTAAAGTCTAAACTATATTAATCAAATCCAAACTACTAAGTAGTAGTCTTTAACCTAACACAACCTTAGAAAATTCCATTCAAATAATTTATATTATTCTTAGCAATTAAATTTAATTATTTTTGCTTTATTTTAAAATATAAGCTCGTAGTATGAATATAATTATAAACAATGAAAGTATAACTAACTATCATGATATCCTTTTTTTTGTTTAACATTCTATAATTAGGAAGATGCAAGAGTTCTTTTGAGGAAATTGCTTTGAAACTTCCTCTTGATTTTGAGGAACTTGCCATGAAGCTTCCTATTTAACATTTTGGTCTTCAACCTTTTATATATATATAGATATATTTTTATCAAAATAAGAAAAAGGTACTTCTATTTTTAGTCTTCAGCGTTTTGTGCTTGGTGGTTGTTGAAGTTTAGAAGTTGTAAAAGATGGACTTCGATTTTGTTTGGCCCAAGTCTATTTTGCTTTTGGATCTCCAAATTGCTGCTACTGAAGTTGCGCCGTGTTCGGAGAGGTCTCTTTGTCAAATGGAGTCTTTATTACTCCATAATAAAGAAAATTATCATACAATTTGATAGTATTATATCATCTGAAAATTTGCTATTATATAAAAAAAAAAAATATGAATATGCGCATGATGTTGCTCAAAATTGTGAATACAAAATCCTAAGTACTCTTTAATTACAGCTTCACCACTTTATCATTCACCTAAGTAGTAAATATTGATTGCCATTTAGATAATTCACCTTATCTTCAATAAAACTTTCGAAATTCAACATCATTACTATGTTCATAGAATACTTTTATTGTAGCTCACTAGTTTAAAGGCAATTTTGTCTCCGCCTTGAATTCATTACTACAACTTTATGCAATAAAGTTGTTGTATCTAAATATTTTAAGCTTATTAAAGCTCAATAAAACTATTTTCTAAAACTAGCTTTTTAGATGCATGGTGTTTTTAGATTAGTATACACTTATTATACACTATCAGTTTTGTTTTAACTACAGCTAGTGTTTTAACAAAAAAAAAAAAATCAGTGGTTTAGTAACCATAAGAAACAACAACTCATATACTTGACAAGCATCCTAAATATCGAAATTTTTGTGATTCAATAATCATAAAACGATAATGCTAAGTCATGTATATATAGATATTTTCTAGAGTCAATATTGTTGGACTGTCCTAAAGTCATAAGCTATCTAAATTTGTTGTCACATGAGGTGAACCCACATTTATATTGTTACCCGATTAAGCTACATTTTATCCAAATGTCTTTTGAAGAATTTAGGCAAAATCTTATCCTTCAAGATTTAAAGTTCTATCGTCGTTTTGTTTGTGTTTGTATACCATGTGCCATACCATTAGCCATTAAATGTGCTAGATCGATGATAAATAAAAAAAAGGTCCTTAGAAAACCTCATAGTTTATAAAGCTCATAGACTCATAGTCATATAGTGTGCTTTATTTTTCATAAATTCATTTCTACCGTGAACCGTCCATGTAGAAACACGTACGTAGCATTCTGACCAGAAGTCATGCTTTAGATTCTATCATGCTATAGATTCCAATGGTCCGTATTCTAATTTAATGAAACCGTACTAATTCCTATTGGTATCAAAGTATCAAACTATCACGTATGATATACTCTGATACGAAAATTTACAAATTAAGTCGTTCACTGTAAAACGAAAAAAAAAAAAAATAATGCATTCGTCTTAATAATTAAAAATATGTTACTGAAAGTAATTAAAAAGTAGTGACAAATTGAGTCATTAATGCGTAATTAACTACTACTAACAACATATTTTTTTGCACAATTACAATGGATATACTGACAACGTATATTTTGAAAATATTGTTGTAAATTATTCTCAATTTTGAACTGGTTATACGGTTTTTAGATTTTAGTTAATTGCTTGTAGCTTGTTTTGTTTTAATATATGCAACCTTACAAATTTTATTTTCTTAATCTTGTTTTCAATTTAGTATTTAATTAGGGTTTACAGTGTGAATGTAGTACACAATTTGGCTGCTATATATGACATTTACTTACTAAATTGAGTTCAAACTTTCGAATTAAGGATTAATCGTCAAAATTGTTTAATATGCTGAGAGAACCATGAATGCTAAATATTAATGCGTAAAGAATATAATAAGATCAACACTTTTACTTATATAATTGACAGATATATACACACATTCGTTTTTGTCCAAACTTAACATCTATCAACCTAAACAATCGATGCTACGAGATAGATATATATATATATATCCACAATGTCACACTAGCGAATTAGACCCATAAGTTTATATACATTATGCTTCATTGTAGATATGGACCAATTATATTTCTATATCTAGTCATTACCACAATTAACCCCTAGCTAGCTATATATATAGAATTTTTATAACACAATAAATAATAGATTAGCTAGCTAATGATATTTTCACATAAATTGGCTCATCCATTCTAAGCCATCAATATAATCCGACGAGTAGATCAAGTTATCACCGTCGCCGTCCACACCAATATCGTAATCTCCAAAGAACGGTGTGGCATGATTGGCTTCAACGGTCACAGAAGATGAGATCGGACTGTTGCTTAAAGTCCCTTCAACTCTTTGTGCAAGCCTTTGGATCTCTCTTTCAGCCTCATTGAGTTGTTCCTTTAGTTGAAGAACCTGAAAAAGATTATATAAATTTGATTTGGTTTTAATCCCTTTATTAACATCTAATTATGTTTACTATTAGAGTTTGATTTGATGAGTTTTATTTTGTGGACCTGGTGATTAGAGAGGCCCAATGAGTCAATGACTAAGACAAGCAAGTAACCACTAGAAAACAAATTGGGTTCGTACGGAATAATAATTACATATAATGACATTTTTGTTTTTTGCTGTTCATTTTCTGTATAATTATTCTATATAATACAAAATAACTTTTACATTAATATTATCTAAATTCATTATCACTTTCGATAATATAATTTTTTTAATCTATTGCTTATAATGTCTGTAGTTCCACTTGGTAGTTTGTACTATCTTCAAAAATATTCATAATTTAGAAAATTTATCATATATATAGAAAAAGTAAGACGAAAAATAGAAAGAAACAAAAATTGAAGAAGAGACTTCTAAGAGAGAAATCACAATCTTGATCAACTTATTCAAAAAATTAAAACCTATAATAATATTTATAGATTATTAACCAAATAATTCACTTTTATCACTAAGAAAAAGAAGAGTAATTAGAACGTACCTCAGAATCAAGACGACACTTGTCAACGACGACGTTTTCGTATGCGTTCTTGAGTTTAGTGTATTCATCCTCAACGCGCTTGTTCTTCCACCGTGCACGGCGGTTTTGGAACCAGACGGCGACTTGACGAGGGTCAAGCCCTAGCTCCAAAGCAAGCCGATCTTTCCTCTCAGATTCAAGCTTATGATCGTCTTCAAAGCTAATCTCCAACATTCTTACTTGCTCATCACTCAGTTTTCTCTTTCTAAACCATCCATTGCCTCCTTCTTCCGCCACCGCAACACTCTTGCTCTTCCTTTTCCTCCGCCGTGCTTGTTTTGCTTCTCCTGCTGGTCAAAGAGAGAGAGAGAGACCCATCAAAACCAAATCTTACAACATGCCAAAAAGGTCTTAAAACTCACTTCTCAAGTATCATGTGAAAAAAGACAAAACATATCATCCTAAAAAAACATAAAGAAGACCCACTTGAGATATGTCTATAACCAATTTTTGTATTTGAAAAAAATAATAAAAATAATTGAGTTTTTAGTATGTGCAAACCTTGTTGTGGTACCAATGGAGTATAGACATCAGGGTACAACTGAGAAATGAGTAGAAGATTATGATCATCTACATTCTGGTTGTTCATGTTTTCTTCTTCTTCTTCTTCTTCTTCTTCTCTCTCTATGTGAGATTCAACAGATAAGTGTTTGTTTTGTTGTCTCACTTTTTTTCTGCAAGAAGAGAGAAGATGTGTTGGGAGAAGCAGAGGACTTATCAATATATAAAGGAGGAGTAGGTGTCAAGGGATGGTTTGATTAGAGTTTGTTTTTCTAATATATATTTTCTTTCTTTCTCGGATTTGGGCTTATGATTCTTTGAAATTACGTTATTGCCACTTTGCATATCAATTCTACTAGTAGTACTGTAGTAGTAGGTCCTTAAGTTACATGTACATCACTACTTTACTATATCACTATCCATAATGTTGTTTCATTTTGCAAAGACATGACTTTGTTAACTTGAGAAAATATCCAAACAAAAAAAAAAGTATTTTTCATGTGAAAACATATTAGAAAATAAAATAAACAGCCTCCCAAATATTAATTGGACTATATAAAATTCATTTTTATTGTTATTTTCTGATATAGTTTCGTTTGTTTCTCTTTTTTTATTTTGTGTGTTCTAGCATAAACCCCCTCTTGATTACCTTAAGAAGCATAAACAAGTCAATTCGTTCATGTGAATTTCATACAAAACATTGTTCATTTTTAATACACTTCTTAAGGTATATATGGATATTTACACGTAAGTCTTTGAAAAGAAACTTAAAGAGATACATGTAATTATCATCATCATATATATATATATATATATATATGTAAATATGTAATGCAATAAAGGTTTTACGTGTGATGAGAGGATTAGAGGATGTCGTTATCACCGTCATATGGATAAGTCTTAGCAACAAACTAAAAGAGAAAAACATAAGTGATCACACTTTGTCTTTCAAAAGGTTGTTTACTTTTACATAACATTAATAATTTTTACTCACTCTTTCTTACGTTTTCTTTAATCGGTTTTCAAATTCGAAACATTTATATACTATTTTCTACTTTGAAGCTAACGTTTATAGATAATGTTAGTAAAGAGCTTTTAATGTTTGGAAGCAACGTGTTAGTTATTACTATTTTTAGAACGTCTCAACATAATTCGTTTCTAATCAACGGTGGTGGTTTAGTGATTTGAAATTATTTGTTACGTTGAACATATTAGAGTTTAAGATTTTATAGAACTTATTGAACATCTAGTTTAGACAAAACCTGCAACACTACTATAGAATATTGTATATTAATTCAATTTCCTATTCAGTTTTCTTAATACATACTTATATGTTTTAATTAAGTTTATAATGAAGTAATTAAAGTAAGCAACTGTGTACTAAAGTGTAAACAATCATATGTAAGTTATGCATTTTTCTTTGCCATAAATTTATATAAGTAATTTGGTAATAAATACATATGTATTCTAAAGATTAGATTAGAAATCAGAATTTATAATCATAAGTGTAAGTAATCATGAAACATGTCGAATCAAATGCAAAAGAACAATGGGATCCTAATTCTTTTGTCTATGCATTTGTCTCCCTCTTTGGGACTTGATAAGCCTCGAATTTGAGGAAAAAAAAACTTGTGATTACGAAATCTATATATTTAATAATTTTGTGTGCTAGTTAGATCTGTATGAGACTACTGTACTCTAATGATCTCGTCATCTTAGTCGAGAAGAAACCTTAATTTTCAGTAAGACAATAACCCTTATTGAGATATTTCCACCAATTTAAATAGTAAAAACTGTATCTAGATACAAAAAAACATTTGTGGTTCAAAAACTCTTACCTAAACCACAAATGTTTTTGTATCTTTTTTTTTTTAACAAAAAAGTATTGTTTTTGTATCTATGATTGTTTTTTTATATGGTCTATGATAAATTACATAGTTTAAGTATTTCGGTTTCCTTAGTTTTCTCTTTTCCAAGTAACAAAAACTTGTCTATAAAAATTGTGTGACCATGTCCATAGATTGGACTAGAACACACACACACACACACCTTAATTAACTCAAAATTAATTTGTAAGTAAGTACTCGGTGAAAATATCATTTTAGAAAAACATATATTGACTTCTTCCGGCACTCATCGCCGCTCCACGCCAATGAAAAGCTTCGGAGTGATAAGGTGAAGCACATGGGGTCTAATCACGTGTCAAAATTCTACAAATTCGCAGGTAAGACCACCTCTCACATTCATACACGTGTTCTGATCTTCAGTTTCTAAACTTTTCTTCCGACCAATAGACTTCGGTCAGCAATAGCCGCCAAAATTATAATTTTCTTTACTTGGCTTGGTACATTTTGTCAATTTGTATTTTCTTACAATTTAATGGTTAATGTTTTGAATGTAGACGTTTTTACTGGTTCAGCCAAAGACCACGCACGTACTATCCTGACAAATTGTTTCCTCACTTAATTTTTAGAAATCGTTTGAATTTTCTCAAGCATGATTCGTCTTGAAATTTAAGAGTTCTTTTTGCTATATTAAAGGTTTACAAGTTCTATGTTCCGATAATTAAAACTTTCGGACCGTAGTTAAAAAAGACATGGAGATTATAATGATACCAAACTATCTTTTTGGTAAAAGAAAAAGATCAACATGAAGATTACATGACTCAAATATATAAATGCAAGTTGACGTGTTCGTTAGTTATTACATGCAACAAGAATGGCGAATTCAATCTACTCATTACACCAAGAACAAGCTAATAATAATATGAATTATCACTTAGAGAAAATATTAAGCATCTTCTCCTAAATAGGCAAATACTTATCATCAAATAACCGTTACTCATAGCTTGGTTTATTTTTGTTTCTTAAGATATATAGTAACACAAAACATTGCGTATATGATGAGAATCTTTACCAAATTAATTGAATTTGGTTGGCTTATGAATCGGGAAAGTTTTAAAGAAATGGTTAACCTATATGCATGTCTTTAGAGATTCCCTAAACGAGAAAGGAGACGAACGACGAAAGCATGTAAGTTTCGACTTTCCAACCTTTTGTCCTAATTGGGGTTATTCCGATAAGGACACGTGTCAATGACCCAGTTGAGATATCGATAAACCCACATTTTTGTATGTCATACTGTCAGTAAGTGATGAAAGTGAGATAGACTGACAAAGTAAACCAAAAGAAAGAAATAATAGTAATAATAATAATATGTTGTCAATTTATCATAGGTAAGATATATATATTTATAAAAAAAAAATTGATTTTGATAGGATATTCGAACCATGCATGCATAAATATAATTAATCTTATATATAAGATGTATTTAATTAAACAGACTAATTAAACAAGTTAAAATGCTAATTGATTTTAACAGAATAATTAGCATATGTATTTAAGATGTATTTTGAATAATTATCATATTTTTAATTAATTCCTTTTTTAATTAATAGGGTACTAATGTATTTATAAATTAAATTTAGAATTATCTGTGATGTACTTTCTAACTACTGTATGTCGGCACTGAAGGTGATGTAAAATTCACTTTTTTGAACGAAAATCTTAAATTTGTTAGAAATCTACATCAGATTAATGCAAATATTTAATATAAAGTTTACACGTGCTTAAATAATTAAAACATTACATTGTTAACGTATAGATTAGTATTATACTGTACAACTAGAGTCGGACCCGCGCTACAGCGCGGGGGAAAAGTTTTGACTTATTTATTTTTATTAACGAAAACATTAACCTAGTGAGAGATTTTTCTACTTGTGTTGATAATTTTTCATAATAAATAAATATTATTGATAGGTTTACAAAAAAAATATAAATAAATATTATTGATTAAATAATTGCAATTGGGAATGAGGGGTAATTATTCTGTTTTCATTAATTCATATAGTTTAAATTTTGGTGGGTACATAACTAATAATTTTTTTAATAATAAATGTTCACTAAAAGTGAATAATTTTTCCATATAATTTGAAATCATATTTATGTAACATTTGGTATTACAAAGTATTTGGTTATAAAACTTAAGTGGTGTGTATTATATTCTGACCCGTTGTAAAATGATCAATAATTTTAATATATGTTCTGACCCGTTGCAAAACTATCAGTTAATATTTATAATATATGAAGTTTTTAATATTTATAATATTTTATACATTTTAAAATTTAACTATTATGATTTTTTTTTTTTTTTTTGTCAACAATAACAAAAAGATTGACTTATAACAGCCAATTCGAGGGACAATTGTTCACATACAGAACAGAAAGCGGCGTGGTACGGGCATTCTGTGCCAGCTTATCCGCTTGGATATTAGCGCTTCGTGAAATAAGAGACAAAGAAAAAGAACAAAATTCCTCTCTGTCAACAGATATGTCATCCAAATATACAGAGAACGCCGGCCACTCAAACGGGGAAGACACCATCTCCACCAAGTCCGAACAGTCTGTAAGAAATACAACATCTCTGTGATTGTACCCGATCATACATCGCATCGCCCACACCAAGGATTCTACTTCAGAATGAAGAGGGGAAAGGCTCCGTCTACAATTCCTAACTATTATGATATTTTGAAGCTTTTTAGAAAAAAATTTTTTTGCTCAAACTTAGAACCTGTTTTAAAAATTGAATGTTTATTAAATGTATTTCCAATTAATAATTTTTGTTTGAAATTTTATATGGGACACTGTAACCTTTAATATTTTGGTTTTTTATTTATTTTAAAGTTGATAATTAAATCATAACCTTTAATATTTAGAAATTTTTATTTTTTGGGAGAATATTTAATCAGATTTCCATATGATTAACAATAAAATCACAAAAATTACGGAACAATTTGTTAATTAGATATTTATCTAAAGATTGAGATCTTTTTAGGTAATGATAAACATAATTTCCTTAAAATGTGCATTTGTTATTCACCATTAAGATTTAAATATTCACAATTAATTTGGATTTCTAAAATATACGTATGTATCATTATTATAGTTTCCTAAATAAGGGGAAGTTTTAGTAACTGATATTTTTTAAATTTTCGGATTTTAATAGTTAATGGGTAATATTATACCCGAATTTTGATCTAAAATTGAAGTATCCATCATTATAATTTCGGGTTATTTTATGTTTTTGACCCGACCCGAAAGTGCATTTGTATTTCTGTTTTACTATAGTAGGGATGCTTTTTTCTCTTTTTATCAAAAGAAAAAAAGTATTCTTGTATACGTACATCAAAAGAGCCAAATGCAAAATCATAAAGAGTTTTTTACTATATGAATTATTCAAAGTAAAATTATGATTAGTTTCTTTTTAATTTTTTAAAAACATCAAAAGCTTCTTACTTTTTTCCACGCTTTATATACATATTGTTTCTAGGTACATTTCATTTCGCCTCTTCTATTTCGAGACATTTTCTTACTCGTTAAGCCATGATAAACATATGTGTAAATTAATTCATAATTATAGTCATAAGATTACAAGTCACACTCTTTTGCTTTACATAAAAATATAATGACCGCTACAAATACAATCTTCTCGACTAATTTTGTACGGTTATGTATACAATATAATACAAACCTTACTCACGTGGCAAGAAAGTCATAATGCTTTCCATAAATATACATTTACAAACATTATTATATACTCTCTCTCCTTTATCTTTGCCTTAATCGAGCTCCAACCTGTCTCCATTCTCATATCACGATTAGGTAGCTTTAACCACATGGTTAGCAACTAAACAACTCTTGTCATTAACACGTTAATCTATGATTATACATTTCCATAAATGGGTTGAGGCCACGTGTCTCCATACATGTGTTTACAAGTATCGTGTTGTAGGTAATGATTCTAACAAGGACCACCTAAAAGAAGGGTGGATTTCTAGATAGCTCTTAAGTTATGGTCCTAACTAGATCATGTTTAGCCAGTGAATCAATCTTAATTGTTAAATGATATTACTATTATCAAGATATTCTTTCTAATTTGGTTCATGCAGCTTTTAAGGCGATCTTGTATTACTTCGTGGTGGTCCAAGGTTATACATGGCGCAACATCGAAGCATTGTGTCAATAAATTAGTAGTTTCTTAATCAAATCGAATTAATTATTCAGCTCATAAATTTGCAGATTGGTTTACATATTAATATTGTATTAGTACATAAACCTTTTTCCTTCAAGAAACAACCAGTAAGATCTATATTAGCTGTAAGATAAAATACTTAATTAGCTCGAGTCTCCATTAATTTACTAAATGCAGTAGTGTCGGGACCAATCACTCCAGCTTGACAATTCTAACCATATAAAATAGAGTATATATATATTTTTCATTTACAATTGAAACTTTTTCTCTTGTAACAATTGAAACTTTTTCTCTTGTAACAATCGATATATTTTGTTTTCTCATGTGCCTACTCGTAACTCTACAGTCTATATGGTTATATAGAACTGAAGACTTTTGTAATGGTTTTGGCTTATTTGTATAGGCTAAACACTAGAGTTCTTGTTCAAATAGTTAATCACGCCACACGCCACGGAATAAGTCAATAAGAAGCAAACATCTTTTTTTTTTTCACATTCATTACAAAAAAAAAAATGTTTGAATCATTCATAACATGTTTTTACGAAACTAAAGTAATTTAATTTTAACATGCATATATATGGAATTAAGTATTGCGACATGGGAAATGGCATCTCTTATTGTTTCTGTTTCCGTAAACCAAATGATGAAACGACTAAACTCTGACCATCCAGTCATAAACTTATGTGATTGTTTATAACAAAAAACTATAAGTTAGTAAAAACTGTGATTGGTAAAATAAATTGCACAATTACTCTCATACTATAGACGTCTAATCATAAAGGAAGTGTATAATTAGTTATGTTTAACAAAAAGAAAAAGACATGTATAATTATGTTTACGGGTTTATAGGTTCAGTTTATTTACTAATAGGATGTATATATAGATGAATACACTAAAATGAGACACATTTATCATAAAAGTTATTTACACTAATCTTAATTAGCCCCTCAACTTGGTGCAACATCAGATTACATGTGGAGCTCATGACTCATATATTCTTCTCTTGTTCTTTTTCTACAAAGTTAGGCGTTACAAAAGTAAATCTCCATGACATAACGTTTGGTCTTAGCTTACGCGTAACAAGTAGATAGCATGCAGGATTCTTTTGTTGCACAAAAAATAAAATTTTCTTTTTTAATTATATATGTGTATATATGATCTGTGCTCTTATCCAAGATCATGATGCGCCATTACATCTTCATCAACAAGAACGGATAAGTGGTACTAGTCGAATATCTCACGTAAATATTTTTTTATAGTACCTTAGATAGAGTACCATGGACCAGCAGCCTCATGCAGTTCTAGTCGCTAGCCCTGGCTTGGGCCACCTTATCCCTGTCCTCAAACTCGGAAACCGTCTCTCCTCTGTCCTCAACGTCCACGTGACCGTTCTTGCAATCACCTCCGGCTCCTCTTCCCTGGCAGAAACCGAGACGATACATGCAGCTGCGGCTAGAGGGAACTGTGAAGTTATAGAATTACCCTCGGTCGATATAGACCACCTATTGGAGCCAGATGCGACAGTGGTCACTAGAATAGCGGCGAAGATGCGAGTCATGAAGTCAGCAGTTTGGGATGCTGTGAAATCAATGAAGCGAAAACCAACGGTCTTGATCGTTGATTTGTTTGGTACGGGGCTGTTGTCCATAGGCGATGTTGGTGTGATGAAAAAGTATGTGTACATTCCATCGCATGCGTGGTTCTTGGCATTAATGGTCTACTTGCCGGTGTTGGATAAGGTAGTGCATGGTGAGTATGTTGAAATTAAGGAGCCTATGAAAATACCAAGTTGTAAACCTGTCGGGAAATAAGAGAAAAGAAAATAAGAAGAAGAGATTAACAAAGAGAGAATTAATAAGAAGAAAGGTGTTAGAGAAATCCACAAAAATCCCAACATTTAGATTTTAGACAAAGTTCCTGTTGGGATAAGCTTGAAGAAGAAGACTTAGGAGACAGGCTACTTATTCCTAGTTGAGTTATGACTTAGGGATTAGATTGTGTTTAGGAGTTATCTAGATACAATTCCTATTAGAATAAGGATTATCTCTTCTCTATATATATGAGTTATCAAAGTTGTGGTAACCTTAAGAGATTAGAGAGAGATTAAGGGTTTTAGAAAGCTTAAGTTTTGAGTTATTTTCTTAAGCAAATAAAGAGAGTTATTCTTTAAATTCTTGAATTCATAATCTTTCTCAAAATCTAGATTTGGTATCAGAGCTTGACGATCTTGGGTTTACACACACGAAAACTAAGATCATCAAACCATGAGTGAGATTGTTCCAACAAGCAACAAGAAGGAGGCTGTCCCCTCTTCTATTCAATGTCCAATGCTAAACAGTACGAACTATACTGCTTGGGCAATGAAGATGAGGTTGTTGTTGCGTGTTCATAAGGTCTGGGATACGATTGATCCTGGATCCACTGATATTGATAAAAACGACCTAGCTAGTGCCCTGATCTTTCAATCGGTTTCGGAATCTCTTATGCTGCAACTTGGACACTTAGACACCACCAAGGCTGTATGGGATGCGATCAAAACACGGAACCTTGGGGCAGAAAGAGTGAAAGAAGCACGACTTCAAACTCTTATGGTCGAGTTTGATAGATTGACGATGAAAGAGACAGACACCATAGATGACTTTGTTGGCAAGCTTTCTGAAATTTCTTCTAAAGCAACATCTCTTGGGGAAAGCATTGAAGAAACCAAGATTGTTAAGAAATTTCTTAAAAGCTTACCAATGCAGAAGTACATACAGATTTCGGCCACCCTTGAACAAGTTTTGGATCTCAAAACAACATCTTTTGAGGATATAATTGGGAGAATCAAAACTTATGAAGAACGAATAAGTGCTGCAGAGGTATCACAGGAGAATCAAGGCAAGCTTATGTATGCAAACTCAGAGTCATCATCAT